AATTTGTTCGGATGATTCAAGATTTAATTGGAAGAACAATTCTTGTTTTGGAAACTTAAGTTGAAATAATTGACCGGATGATGAATTATGTGTAAACAACCCCGAAATAGAGTTTAAATGATTCCAATAGCTCTGTATGGTGATTTTGGACTTAGGAGCGTGTTCAAAATTTTTTTTGAAGGTCCGTAGTAAAAATTTGCTTGAAATGATGAAAGTTGAATTTTTGGGAAGTTTGACCGGGGAGTTGACTTTTTGATATCAGAGTCGGAATCCAGTTTTAAAAATTTTTATAGATCTGTTATGTCATTTATGACTTGTGTGCAAAATTTGAGGTCAATCGGAATTGATTTGATACGTTTCGGCGCAAAATATAGAAGTTGGAAAATTTGAAAACTCATAATTCGATTCGATAAGCGATTCATAATTTCGGCATTGTTTGGCATAGTTTGAAGCCTCAACTAAGTTTGTATTGTATTTTGGGACATATTTGTATATTTTGTTAAGGTCCCGAGGGGCTCGGGTGGATTTCGGAAGGTTGACGGAATGGATTTCGGACAAAAGGAGCTGCTGGAATTTTTTAGCTACAAAAGCTGTTTTTGGACAGCAACTGGTACAATCGCAGAGCCGATTTTGGAAGCTTATATCTCGAACTTTATAAGGAATCTAAAAAATTTTAAAACATGAAAATTGTAGCCCTTTGATTCTAGTTTCTAGAAAGTTAAACCATTCATCATTTAGACATTTGTACAGAAAGTTATGGTCGACTTAATGAAGGCTGGTAAAGTCATTTTGCCAGAAATTTCTGATGTGTGGAGCCTAGTTTATGAGCATTTGATGTGCAATTTGTGATATGTTATAATATTTGAGCATTTGATGTGCAATTTATGATATGTTGTAATATTTGAGCACTTGATGTGCAATTTGTGATATGTGAGCACTTGAGGTGCAAGTTGTATTATGCTGTGATATTTGGGCACTTGAGGTACGATTTGTGAAATATTGTGATATTGATACGCATACGGTGATACAAGGTCAGGGTGTTGAAACGCATGCGGTGAGATAATGGTGGCTTGAAACGCGTGGCTAGTAGGGGAACTACTAGAAGTCATGCGGTGTGATAAGGATGACTATAACGCGGGATGCTATTTCGGGAAAAATAATTTCTTTAAAATTAAATGTGAAGGCTCCCGCGGTGATATAAGAAAATGAGATAGCGTCAATTTATTTATGATTTGGGACTACGAGGCGGTACCTCGGGAGTGCCCTGTTGATATTTCTTTATTTATGTTCTTGTCTTGGGTGATTTTGTTTCATTTAATATGTAAATTCTTGTCTTCTTCCGTGATGTACTAGTTGACTTTATTATTATGTGTTTTGTGCTCCTAATTGTATAGTGTTGGCTTTGGCTTATTAGCACGAGACTTTGAAGAAGTATATTTCTGATTTTTCTTACTGATTTTCGATGATTGAGTTGATTTAAATAAAATAAATTATTATTATATTTTAAATTAAATAGTTTTACATCCAAATCAGTAGTTTATCTTATGCTTTAATTTAAGTGCAATGTTATTTTCTTCACCCAAATAATTTCTAAAATAAATTCATTTCTTTGTTGATTTCTTACTTGATTTTAAAATTGTAAACTCACTTTAGTGGAAATAAATTGATCATGTGGATCTTATATACATTGATATTATTGGCACGTGAGTTGTCCGTGCGGTTGTGATAGAAATATAGGCATGAGGTGCCGTAAAAATATGGAAGTGGGTTGAGAGTCGTATTTTTATGATTATGAAATGAGGTGTCACAAGGTGACTTTTATTTGAAGAAATTATATTCCAAAAAAATATTATTTGAAAGAATTATAGTTGAAAGAAATTTATTTGAAGGGAGTATATTCGAAATATATATTTATTTGACAAGGTTATATTCTAAGAATTTTTATTGAAAAACTTATATTTTAAAGATTTATACTTGAAGTACTTACATTGGAAAGGCGTATATTTGAGGGACTTGATTGATTGGTTGTCTTTGTGTTCCTTATTCGTTTGAGCAATATTTATGGTGTTCTTGTTGCTTTANTATTATTATTATTATTATATACTGCTACACTGCACAGGTTAATTGATTAGTGAGTGTCTTGATTATACCTTGTCACTACTCCACCGAGGTTAGTATTGATACTTACTGTGTACCGATCGTGGTGTACTCATACTATACTTCTGCATATTTTTGTGCAGAGCCAGGTATTGGAGATATCGGACTCGGGCAGAGTTAGTGTGTTGATCGCAAGGATTCAAGGTAGAGTTGCTTGGTTGTCGCAGTCCCTTGGAGTCTTTTCATTTTATTGTACTGCTAATTATTATTCGAACAATATTGTATATTCGATCCTTGAGATCATTTCATAAATTCAGTTAGAGTTCGTGACTCAGTATTACCAGTCTTGGGAGATTTTTAAAATTATTTTCGATGTTGGTTTCGATACGTGTATTAAATTATATCTTTATCAAAACAAAAGGGCTTGAATTGTAATTGTAATCGACTTACCTAGTCTTAGAGACTAAGTGCCATCACGACACCTGTGGTGGAATTTTGGGTCGTGACAGATAACTAGCATGCATCTTCAAGTTATCAATTCTTTGCGTATACAGCTTTGCATATGTGAGAGATAATTAGGACGTCGACTCAGGTTTATCTTTGATAGCCTCCATGATGAAGTCCTTCAATTTCTCAACGGGAATTAGACCTTCAGTGGAGACTTGGATCTCCTTAGTTGTCGTTGTTTGCTTTTCGGAGGAGTCCCATTTCTCTTGTAACCTTTGAAGATTTAAAGGTGTTTGTATGGATTCTCCTTCTACTATGCTATCCAACTTATTTGTTAAATTGGAGGGTTTAGCATTTTGATCTTGCACGAGCTTTGACAAGCCTTCAATTGCTTTCGTCAAATTTGCGAGTTGTTCTTTTACGGTAGAAACTTCAATAACCATTGCTTACATGATGTGCGTAGAGGATGAAGAATAAAATAGATCATTATTGGGATAGAGCTAGGAGGTCGCATTAATGGAGACTAAAGTAGATCCAGCGCTCAAGTCATCATCATAAGCTTGCACGAAAGGTTTCTCAGAGTTAGATAAACTAAGTTGGGCAAGAACCTTTTCGATCCTTTTGGCGACATCGTACCCTTTTTGGGTCGTGCTTGTAGAGGATCTTGCTCCTTTTGAAGATGAAGATCCGAAAATAGAGGTTGACGTGGACGACACTTGTAGTGCTTATTGTCCTAAAGAGCTTGCTTTGCTCCTTGTAACTGGTCCAAAGCTTCCAAAGGTAACATCGAGGATGCTTTCCACATCAGTACAGAACCTGGATTTAGCAGCCTTGGTGGAAGTTGATCTGGAGCTGATTTTCTTTGAAGCCATTTCGATGTTCTTGAACTTTGGTGATTGAAAAGTTGAGAAGAGAGGTAGAAGATTGTCCCACTGGGCATGCCATAATTTGTAGACAATAAATTTGCGTCGAAAAAATAAAATCAAGACCGAAAATATTGCAACAATCGTAGTATTTTATTTTAAATTTTTGAGTGTACAATCTCTATGAATCCTCTGATTCTTGTTTCCAATAGTAAATAAATCCAAGGGCCTTTAAGCTTGATCTTGACTATGTAATTATTGCCACGAATGATGATCTTGAATTCAACAAGCATGAATTTTAATTTGAACTCATATTCCTTGAATCTTGATTTGTTTTTCGTTCTTGAGCTTGAACTTGGTTGCTTGAAGCTTGAAACTTGTAGAGAAATTTGCGGCGTTTGATCCACGAGCTCTCTCTTGCTTCTTGTTATAACTTCTGGTCCGCTTTCTGGGTTATGACGACCNTTGTTCTTCGTTCTTGAGCTTGAACTTGATTTCTTGAACTTGAACTTGATTGCTTGAAGCTTGAAACTTGTAGAGAAATTTGCGGCGTTTGATCCACGAGCTCTCTCTTGCTTCTTGTTATAACTTCTGGTCCGCTTTCTGGGTTATGACGACCCCTATTTATAGTTGTGGGAGGGAAGTGTTATGATAAGAACAAACTCTTTCCGACCAATCAAATTGAAGTGTGACAAGGCCGCATTTGATTGGCTAGAACATGACACTTACACACATGACGTGATTTCATTGACCTTTTGATATGACTTGGCATGCCTTGTCATTTTGATACGTAGCATGATCCTATTGGCTCTTCCGTTTGACTTGGCGTGCCATGTGACACCAAAGTAGGCCTCTAGGAAGATGACATATTTGGCCTAATGAAGTGGGCTCATTATTTGTAGCCAAACTAAATGGGCTAGCCCAGTCAATATTCATTGGATTTAAGTAATCAATTCAATTATATTAGCCCATAATATTTATTTGAACCAAAATATATTTAATTGAGATTAAATTCAAATTTCTTATGGATTTAAATTCAATAAAATCTTAATTGCATACACAAGCATATTATGCTGAAACTTTTCGTGTTTCAGCTAGAGTACTTTTGTCTAAATTTTATCTCCGCCTTAAATAGTGGCTACTTTTTAATAACTTTGCAAATATTGACTATTTTTGAATAACTGTGTGTAAAAATGGCTATGCCATGCCATTTTAATAATTTTAGAAGCTTTGCCAAATATGCTATAAGAGAGAGGGAAAAATCAGAAATAGTCTGATTTACAACTGGTAATTAACAAAATAGCTAGAGCTTTAAAAGTAATCGAAGTTTAACCTTTTTTTTTATGTAATCCTGAAAAACTCTCCAGCATATTATATTGGAATTCGAATTTTTATATATGAGATTCTAGGAGTTCAACATAACATGTTGGGAGTTCATACGCAGGAGCTCCATAATCCAATACATTATGCTGGAAATTTTCGTACTTCAGCTAGGACATTTTGGTCCAAATTTTAACTCTCCATAAAATAATAATTATTTTTAATAACTTTGCAATTTTTGGGTCGAAAAATGGCCAGACTACACTATTTTCACACAGGACCGTCTTATTAATTAGACGAAACCTCGAAATCATCATTGATCCAAGTGATTTGGTCTACAAATTGTAAATTTAACTAAAACCCAAAAGGCAAAAACTTCAAAGTAGCCTCTAATCATCAATGGCGGAATCAAAAGTTGCAGAGGAGGGAGGATCTGTAACACCGAAGAAGGGGCCAAAATGCTTTTGCAGTTTACCAGGTTATATCGAGGAGACACCAGGAGGAGGATGCTGCGTTTGCAATCCAGATTTAGCCCCCGATTATTCTTATTACCTCTCTGATGATGATGATTTGCCTGAAGATCATCGCCTTGCTCTTGAACAAATTCGGTTGAATTACCACCATCAGTCGAAAAAATCCAATGTTTGCTTCCTTCCTTTCTTTTTTTCTCTTATTAAAGTTCTGTCGTTCAATTTTTGGTCAAGCCTTTGATTTGATTCGTCTGCTTTATTTATATTTCATGCCTTCATACTTTTTTTTTTGAGCCTATGATTCATCGTATGCTAAACTCTGTTATTTCTATTCATTTTTGCCCCTGATAATAGGTTTCCATTCTCCATGAATATGATTAAGACAAATGTTTATTTTTAATTATGTTTTTGGAAGGAATTGTTTGGGTCTCTTTGGCATCAATTCTTCGATCCCAACTGTTTGGCCCCCTTTTCCCTTTTAACTAAGTGACTGGTCGGTTCCAACTACATTATTTTAGCTTCCTGTGTTTGAATTTGTTTGTTTTAATTTGGATAGATTTGTCCAATTCCATTATGATCCCTCTTCTTTCTTCCAGTTTGGCGGATAGGTTTCACCGCTGTTGGCTTGTTTGACAGGGTTTTGAATTTGTTGACTATCCCGGTCAGGCGGTCATGATGTTCCAATAACATCATATTTGGATTTCAAGATCCATAACGACTATGGGGTACTGATTGAACTGGCTAACCGTGCTATCCAAGAGTATAATGAGAAAGAGTGCAATGTATGTATGCCCCTATACGTCTTTGCTTTGTGTGATTTTAAGTCCCTCTCGCCCTGACTCTTCGAGTGATATATGTTGACTCTCCCTGCAGGTTTTCAAGTACAAGTTCTTGAAGATTGAGAAAGTGTATTTTATATCGTTGCGATGGGAACAATTTTTAATGACTGTTAGAGTCTTAAATCTCACTCTTCCTACTCCTATTGAAACTTTTCAAATCCATGTTGCTATAAGAATCCCTGATGGTATCAAATAAGTCATTTGTTGCGGGCCAAAAGGAGTGGTAAACACACCTAATTATCTTTACAATATGCGCTCCCCTTTTTTTATGTGTTGGGTGAAATGTATCATTTTGCTGTTTTTTAACAGTGGTAATTGGACTTTTAGTTGCTTAATCTTTGTAGGTATTGGTATTATGAGATGAGATTGGCCTGTATATAGGCTTTCTATTTGGATTAACTTATGTGCAAACACTAAATGATAACTAAAAGTTCTTTTGATTCTCGTTTTCCCTTATGCTCTTGTTACTTTAACTACCTTAAGTCGAAGTCCCAAAGTTGTGTTAAAGTAAATGATGGTTAAAATGTCTCTTCACGTTGGTAGAGCACAGATGAAAAATTGTGTCGTATATGTTTGAAGAAATTATAAAAGTTGAGTATTGTATTAGGACTTTGTGATAAATTATGAAGTAGAAGTGATCCGAAATGATAATCATAGGCATTTGTTTTCTGTGAGAGATGTATTTGTACCTGATAACTAACTTTACCTTGGTTTGTTTCTCCAACTAATTTACAGGATCCGGTTATTGGTCCGTTTGCCAAGCCGATTAGAGATGATTGGCCTCCGGAGCGGATCCAGGAGTACAAGAGAATACGCAATGCGTTACTACAATGATGTTGATCTAGAATTTGAATTTGATCAGGTACAACTAGGATTGTCCTTCGAGGAAAGGAAAAGGCATTTGAATTATAGCTAATTTAATGTTAGATTGTTTTAGATTTCATCATTTGCAGTCTCAAGCGTTTTACTTTGATATGTTATCTCACCTCTTTGTTAATTAAAGTACGACCAAACTTCTCTAAAACATCCTTATATAACAATCATTCGCTATAAAAACCAAACTTTTCTCGGAATTAATTTTTATATTATGTTATAATATATGTCCTCTATAACATCACTTCATTATAGCAGCCAAAAAATATCGGAACGAACGAGGTTGTGATAGATAGGTTTAACTGTATCTGAGATAATATTGTGCACATAGACTTTAGTTTTTCTAAACTTAATACTGGTCGAGAATATTTCAATCTCTGTTGTTATAAGCGCTTTACTTTGAGAGTGGTCTGACATCTCTTATGCACTGGTTTATCAGCTATTTCCAATGAGTTCATAATTTTCATTTATAGATTAGAAGAGATTGTCTACACAATATAATGGTTGTGCAACATTTTATTTCTACTAAAAATTGAAGGTATATGGTGTATGTGAGTTTGAGACGAATTGAATGCTACAATATTTGATTGATTTTTAATTTCATGCTGGAAATTCTTTTTTTTTAATTCTGTAGACTATGTGAAATTATAAATGTTAGAAATACTTGACACAGTTGTACTTCATCCAGTTAAAATAAACGAAGCTCCCTTCCTATGTTTTCACATATATTTAATTTGTTTGTTTGGAAGAATTCAAAGTACTAGTAAACTCCTTTATGCTTGTGACCACTAGAAATGGTATTGTTTTCGAAGGCTCGCTATGAATAGTTTTAATAATAATTTTCTCTATATTTCTTGTTTCAAATGAACAGTATAGCAATGTAGGTTAAGAGATATTACATATTGATTTCAAGTCCTCTTATGATTGGGGCAAAACAACGTACTATTACTGAAAAATAATGAAGTACGCCCATATTTATGATTATGTTTCATTTCTTGAAGTGAATTCTACAACTCATGAAATCCTAACCTAGAGGCAAAAACACTAGGTGATTTCTTCTCATATGTCTAAATCTTGACGGTTAGAGTTACTCGATATTTGTGTTGATGAGAGGTAACAAATATCCCGTAAAATTAGTCGAGGTACACGCAAGATAGTCTGGACACCACGGTTAGAGAAAAACAAAACTGAGGTTGAAAAATAAGTCTTGAGAGTGGTGTACTATGAATAATTTTCGTTAACAAATTACATTTGGGATGTGGACTTGTTGGATTATTACTTTTAGCTCGCGTCAGAAATTATTTATATTTGATAGCCGAAAAAATGTATAAAACTTGTATAATATTTATTTATAACATACAGAATGTATATATATATATAATATAAATTTTATATATTTTTTCGACTATTATTTTTATAGCGGCTATACAGTGTCATTTTTCCTGTGGACCTGTACCAGTTCTTGTGAGGCTAATGGAAATGGGTTAAAAGTCGTCATTTGTGCAGTGGGGTTTCAGTAAAGGTATTAAATGAACGAATTAAGTTCAACATGAGTGGATTAAAATGAGTTGAATCAATGAATTTGTCATGATTCAAAAATTTGCATTCCAAATAATAAGGGGAAATTTGCGAATTTTATCCCTGAAATGTCGATAAGTTATTATGATATTGGTGCTTGTAATATGTGATAAGCATACATTTAGCCTTCAATTAATTAAAACATACATTTCTGTACCCATTCGTTAGTTAATCTTGAAAAAGATTAATATGTTATTAACTGTTAAATCATTTAGATGAGATGACTTTGGTTACACTTATTTTGACCATTAAATGAATATATTTTCAACTTGTCCAAGTTTGGGCATATTACACATTTTTAAGTCAAATTTGTTACTTTGTTTTCTATCTTCAAATATACCAATGAATTAGCAAGTTGAATTTATAGGTCATAATTGTCACACGTACGCTTTTTGGCAGGGGCGGATGCACGAAATTTTTTACTAAATATATGTATTAATACTATAAGGAAATGAATACATAAAGAAAATGACATCACATAATATAAATTGTTTCTTAGTGGGTTGGTTATGTGTTTGATTTTGCTCCACGAAGTCAAAGGTTCAAACCTCAACTAACACATGTTTTTTGGAAATATTTAAGAGAGCCTCAATGGTTAAAATTTGTGATTAAGTAGAATTGAACTTACGTACCTTTTCTAATTTAAGAATCAAGCTATTTGTTGTATACAAATATGATAACTACAGTTATTTATTTTCTTTTTTTAAAAAACTTCGATACCACTTAGGCACTTACAAAACTTTCTGGTTAGGCCCCTGGTTTTTGGTTATCAAAATACCAACGTAAGCCATGATCTTATTATCCAAACTCTAAAGTATTGATTATTATCTTATTGACCCAAAGAAGGTTTTTAATTTATAATATTTTAAGTCGTTGATTGACTTAAGGCTGCTGTTAATCATTATTCTTAACATATCATCCACGTCCTTAATAGNCGCCAATAACACAAATATATATATTCATCAATAGATAAACTTTAGACGAACTAATTTACCAGAAAGAAAAAAAAAAAAAAAAAAAAAAAAAAAAAAAAAAAGGAACATACAAATTCTATAGCTAAACAAAAAAATTCGTCGTTAATCTTATTTAACGATTGATTACCAAGAAAATCTGTTAGCTATGAATGATTGAGCGACAAACTTCGAAACTAATTTCATTGTTTTTAGTGGATGTATATATATAAATAATAAGTAAAATAAAAACATCAAGTGTAAATATAAAAAATAGCACTACTTGTCATTATAGTAGTTTATTTATTATTCACTTCTACAAGTATTGACACCATTTATAAAAAAATCCTATCTGATAAAACAGAGAGATCTCCACTTTCTGATAAATTAACGTTGTTTTATTATATTTTAATGATATTATTCTTTTTTTCTAAAATCTAAGAGTGTTGAACGATCCACCAAGAAACTACAGCCACCCGTTTTAAGTAGTACACTATTTTGCTTTTTGACTCTTAAAATTATTTTATTTATCGATGTAGAGGTTGCCAGATACTAATATTAATGCACAATCTAGATCACGGGCGGACCCACGTTGGTTCAAGCGGGATAAGTTGAACTAAAAAAAATCATTATGTTTATGTGAGAATTATTTTGGTGAGAAACAGATTACGTACAAAAATAAAAAGTTTAATCCGCTTGACTTATGCTATGTTTTGGGCGTGATGGCTCAAGTGAGGTCATTTTTTAGTTGCAAGTTTCAAGTTCGACTACGGATGTCTAAACATATATAATAATTTTCTTTATTTTTTCTTCAAATATTCTTATGTCTTAAATTTACACCTTTTTAATTTAAATCTCGTCGTTGCATTCTCACAGTTTCTTGTTTTAGTATTTGTTAAATTCTTATACTATTAAAATCTTTAATTTATGTTAGCTTTTAATCATTTATATTGTTAGTGTTAGCACTTGTTAATTTGTTAAATTTAATAAATTAAATAAGTAGATTACTTAGTGTTTTGGTAAAGATTGAATTGATTTTAGTGAAATAAAAGAATTTAAAAATAATTGAAGTTTTAATAAATGGTTATACTTTAAAAAGAACATATATAGATTTGTTGTTATTTTTTTTGTTTTTTGCTTTTTAGAGCACGACCTCAAAAGAAAATAATGAGTAGCGGGAAAATACTTTTTGTGCTTTGTTATGAAACAACATAAAGAGCGGAGGGTAAAACTCATTTGTTAAGTCCAGTATTATTACTTGTACGGTCTGACAATGTCGATGATTTTAATATTTGTCTGAACCGCTTACACAAAAATTTGGGTATGCCACTGAACTAGAACGCGTGTTTTATTTAATATGGCATTTCCTTTTAAGGTTATGATTAACACAAAAAATATTTCATTTAAGTAACCATTAAGCATATTAAGTAGTAGTAATGAAAAACAATTATGTTCTCCTAAACAAGTTGGTTAATACGTTTTTCCTCGATTTTTATTTGGTCGACAAGTCTCACATTGAGGGTAAAATACTCTATAGTAAATGTGACTTCGTATCGGAGGTCGAACTCGAGTGTTGGTTAATATGTAATTAAGCTACATCAATGGTCTTCCCTCTGGAATTTGTGGACTTGAGAGCTTGGACACTTGCTCTGCTCTCTACTAGCTTTACTACGTATGAAAAATACAATTAAGANTATATATATTCACTTTAAATATTTCAAGTTAAAGGGGTTCTCTAATTTTTTTCAATGTATCCACTCTTGTAGCATGCCTCATTCAGACAATACGGTGTATAATTAAAAAATACGTAAGCTTCTGAGTCATTCGATTGTATATTATTGCGAAAACGAAAACACGGTTCATCATTTAATTAGAGCGTGTACATGGAAAACTTAGAATAAAAATCTTGATTCCCACGAAAACATGGATTCTCTAGCCACATAGTAGCCTCATCACCAATACACATGCAGAAATAATTGCCACAAATAATGAAGACAAACTGTTAGGTATTAATTTCCTTATTAAATAACAAATGCGATAACAAAGCTTACGTTAGTTTTCTACATGACTACAAGTTCCTTCTCGATGAAATGGACCAACCGGCCGTTAGGCATATTGATGTTGGGCATATTTCGATATGTGTTGATGTTACTTTACCCATGTTTTAACCGCTTTTTGATGCTATTTGATCCTTAAAATACCCAACATAGTTTAATTATTGGTTTTATGACTAATTGAGTTGTGTGTGATGATTTAGGGTGTTTGGAGTGCAAAAATATGAAGAGAAGGTGCTCTAGGTAGAGGAGGAAGAGTTGGATTTCATGCACCCTTAGCAGTGAAGTCGGCCCATAGCATCCGCCATATCATCCGCACCTGGACAAAGCTGAGAAGGAGGAACAAAGGGTGGATGCGTCCCTAGCATGCGAAGCTGAGAAGTGGAGGACGAGGTGGATGCGACACATCCACCCCAGCATCAATCCCTGTAGCCAAGTCGGATTAGGAATAGGAAAACTTTGGCCCACGACTTTTGTACGCAATATATAAACCAAAAACGCCTCTTTTAGATTATCTA